TAGTCTATTATAGTTTATCCCATCACAACTATACATATTTGATGTAGCAGGTTTTATGAATTCAATGTTTTCAATTGAAATAATGTACACAGAGAGGCACAAATGGATTAAAAATTAATAGATATCGTAAGATCATGCTTATTCTAAAATCACTAACTAATTCAGATTCTGAATTCAACTATAATCCTAACCCACACATTCTTAATGCACATATTGTACTAGTAGTATATATACCTAAGTGCACACACTAGGTTTATGGGCAAGAGCTTTAATTTTTGGTAATAAGCTAAGAACAAATTGTTTTTTGGTGGACAGGAAGCATATTGTGTGGCTCTAAGCAAGCTAAAAGAAGCAATGGAGGAAACTAACTTAGAGTCCATAAAGTTCATCAACCATATGTATTCTCAACTCAGCGACCTCATGGAACTTCCTTCTGTTTCCACTTTATCTCCAACGGCATCTTTTGGTAAGATTAAATCCACTTTTAACAAAGCACTTCATTATTTTGGATAAGATACACACTCACACAGTGTAATTATATATGCACTAATCCATTTACTATCGAGTTTAAGTGTGGAATATTTTACACCATTAGGTCATCCAAGGGATATCGACAAGTAATAAGACTCCTTAAAATGTGAGATTTGTAATTTTTAAAATAAGACAGGTTATATATTACAATAGAAAAAGTTGACTTGATAGTGTAAAAATTTTATACATTACGTGCGGTGTATATAATTAACTTAGGGGTCGTTTGGTATGAGGTATAAGTAGATATAGTGCTGGTATAAAAATTTAATACCACCTTAATACTTTGTTTGGTTAGCAAAGCTGGTATAAGTTATTTCGGGATTAAAATTAGTACCGAGATAACTTATACCTTGTAGGGGATGAGGTAATTAGTGCCGGGATAACTTATACATTCCTCTTAGAAATTATGCAATTATCATTTTCAATACAACATACCAAACAGTAGATAAAAAACAATACCAGGATAACTAATCCCAACATAACTTATCCCAGCATAAGCCGTATTCAAACCAAACGGCCCCTTAAACTCTTTATTATTTCAATGCTCACTGGTCGAGGGTAAAACATCAGGCCATTTGAAGCTTAAGAAAGTAAAACTGAAGAGCTGGATTCATTTAATTAGGTAAAAGAAGAAATGGAGTGTTCAAGTCCAGATAACTTTTTAGTTACCGTACCATTGCAATATGCCAACTTTATCATGCTGAAACTGATTTTGATACTTTAGTACCAAAGTAATACGTGGTAAAGCAGGCACTTTAATTTGTCTTCATCATAAATATGGTTAAGAAAGTGCTTTCCCTTACAATTTGATCTTCTGTTCTTTATCTTTTTGTAGAAGGGATGAAGGCCCATGGGAACAAATGAAATGGCACGAGGAAGCTGATAGATCCAAGAATTTATATATTAAGCTCACAATTTAGCATCTTCTAATTACTAAGTTATGATATCTATCCTGTGCGATGTATGGTAGAATTTTCTTTGCTATAGACTGCCACAAATCGTCGTAGTAAACTTTCTTTTTTGATGTAATATGATGTTAATAATGATTATTGCCAACTGGTCGAGTTCATAATTAAGGGGTTGTGATTTCTCATATAAGTACAACAACAAACCCAGTGTTTCTTTATCACACAGGGTGATAATTCATAACATCTGCAAAATGCAACAAATGATAATTCCTTCCGACACAGGGAGAACTTTAGATGTTTGAGATTAAACTGTTAAATATCGGGTTGATTTAAATTTTGCCTACTTTAATGGATCAAAAGCTCAAAATTGACACAGCGTGAAATGGTTGTGTCTGTTCAAGTTTGGACATATTAATTAATGGAGCCGTCAATAAAATGCTTCATAATAAAATTAAACTATCCAAAATTTACTTTAATTAAATTTACTAGGTATTACTATTATTCTTCACCAATAAAAGAGGGAAGGTTGCAGTTTTAGGGTTAATAATCTATTTCTTGCACAAAACCTTTTCCTGTCCAGTCTTGTCAGATTGTAACCTTTCCTAATTGCCTTCCTTTGACGTATTGCTTCTTGTTGCTTTCTTACCAAAATCAGTTGGACTGTAAAATTAATACATAAGTGACGACAACTGTGCACACAACGACAAAATCCAATAATTATCAACAAAAGATGCCAATCCTTTCATTATGATTTTATGGAGTATATCAGAAGGACAAATTCAAAGTCAAATATAGTGAATTATTCAGGTCCGGAGTTAATAGGAAGAATTTTAGAATTACCTGGATCAAAATCTAAATGCGGTTAAATTCACCACGAGGGACGAAATTACCATCTTAGAAAGAAAAAAATATACACTAATAATACAACCTAGTTCTTGAGATTTACTGCGGGCAGACTCTTGAACCTTCCCTATATATAGGCTTCCTGTTTTCTCGTTTCTCTTGGAGAGAGAGAGATTGAGACTACCCTCTGAATTAATCCTCAATTGATGAAAAATTGTGCTTTCTCATGAAATCTTCCAGCTGGGCGCATAGCTTATTACGCGAAAACTTACTCGTACCAGTGTTTATACCAAATTAGTAAATGCAAAATATGTATATTGCATACACACATTTATCAAAGTTAGTCGATATGCTTGTCACTTTAACCTTTAAATACTAAGGTTAAATTGTTTGGTTTGGTGTAAACATCCTGTCCAAATAAGTATTTATCAATCCATGCATCATGAAATCAATACAAATATACTAAAATCATTAACCAATATGGATTCATTTTCGTTTCTAAACAATAACTAGTAAGTGTCGAAGTCGACCTCTCGTCTCTACTTCTTCGAAATTAGACGGGATACTCATTGGGTACACGTTGTCTTTCGTACTCATACTACACTTTTGTGCATTTTTGTTGTACAGGCACATGCATCTCTAGTGGCCTAGTGAGCATAGCAGTATGGTTGACGCGGAGACTTAGGTGAGCTGCATTTCCGAGACGACCCGCAGCCAGCAAGTCTCTTTCAGATTATTGGATTTATTTTCTGTCCAATCTTGAATTCCGGACGGTTGTTGTATTACATTATTTCTTAGAAATTGCTCATGCACTTGTGATACCGGGTTCCGAGATGATCACGAGATTTTTCAGTAGTTAAATTTTATAAAGACATCCTCATTTATCCAGCGTAGTTTAGTATTTATTATTTATTTGTTTAAAGGGAAATGTTTTCTAAATAATTAAAATGAGAAATTGCTAGTAAATTGTGGTTGGCTTGCCTGACAGTGGTGTACGGCGCCATCACGACCCATAGTAGATTTTGGGTCGCGATAATTGATGAACAAACTCCTATATTAACATGTTCATATTCAACATAGAGAATTAGTTCCAGAATTTGTAACATGTGTGTCTTAGAAAATCAACTAAAAGTCATTATATAATGTTTATTAACCCACTAAGGTTAGACTTGTAGCAAGGTATATGTCACACCTCTAGATAGCATTACACCATAAGACATTAGAAGAAGTCATGAAAGATTTCAATAGCAAACTTAACATATTTAGCAACCTATAATATGGGTCCAATGTACAAAAAACAGAGAACAAGAGAGAAAGAAAGAAAGAAAGAAAGAAAGAAAGAAAGAAAGAAAGAAAGAAAGAAAGAAAGAAAGCAAACAAGCAATAGAGGTAGTCCTAGATAAATACATTAGAAAGAAAAGGCAAGGAAAGCAGCATTTGTGTGATGGGGATTTCCAATACAACAGTTGATCGTTTTAGTAAGCCACAACATTAATAATCAAGGTTTTGCAAACTAATGAAAAGATACATACCACTAAGATTTCGGACATCACTTGTTTTGATGGTAGCATAATGATACACCAAGTGCATGGGAAATATAACTCCTTTAAATACAAAGAATAGTTTAAAACAGTCATAGTCATATGTGCATTCATATAATACTAGAAGATAGAAAAACACATGCCAACAAATATTCATATCTTTGCACAAATTACAAACATTATAATGCTCACCTATACCACTTCCATTAACTGCTCGTCGTCCACTTTCATTCTTTCGGATAAGATTTAGTATGTCACATGTGTCCAATAAAGACAAATTTTTATAGGGTTTAAATGAAAATATATGAGAAATCTAGAGACTATAGATTTTGATTTCTAATTTAAGAATACCTTAAGGTGAGAATCACTAAAATATTTACCATTAAATCAACTAAGCGGCCTGAAGAACAGAAAAAAGTACATAAGAGAGTTGAGAAATACTCCAAAATAGAGATATGATACTTGTAAGAAGCGAAGGAGAACTCTGAAGTTGAGCAATAAACGTATCACCAGAGAATAAGGCCTAACACAGATACCTGATGAGCAGCAGATATTTGAAGAGAGTGACATGAAATTTAGCAGCATTTGTTTCCCTAAAATTCAGTCTTGCACAATACCAGATATTCTTTATCGAATAGTAACCAGAAATTCGCAAAGCAGTCTGAAATTCGAGAAATTGCACAAGGCCTAGAAACTATCACTACAAGAAAGAAGGCATTTGCCAACAACGTTTTTTGTTGCCATAAATCAAATGTTGTTGCTAAAAGTATTTTTGGCAACAACAAGAAAGTTGTCGCACGCCGTTGCAATAAACACCGATGGGAAAAGTATTCGCAACAACCAATAATATTGTTGCAATAGCTAGCTTAACGCAACAAAAAATATTGTCGCCTTAAGTTATATTTTGTTGGTAAAAAGTCATGCTACTGTGGCTTATGAGAACATTTAACAACAAAATTATTGTTGCAAAAATGAGCTTATTTACCAACAATATCTGTTGTGGTGAAAAAATTAGCGGGAGAGTAATTAGTTATTGATCTATTATCAAGGCTTTTAGCAACAATTGCTATTGTGTTTATGAATTACCTTTTGCCAATAATAATTTCACAAATGTATATATATAATAATAAATTATATATATATATATATAAACATCAATACATAAAATTGATACACAAGTATTTACTCACTTTCCAAAAACTAAATCTCCTAAAATGTATGCTTGTACTTACAAGAAGTAACAAAAGAATCATATACAAAAGTCATTAAATTCTAATATAATTAACTCCAAAAATATGTCTTCTTCCAACAACTTGTTGCAATGCATGAACCATATATCCAGCAATGATTATTTAAGCATGTCCATCCTACAAAAAAAGATAAATATAATTACATTTTGATAAAAAGAAGTTGTAAAGTACAAAACTACAATTAACAAAGAAAAAGAGGGAATCACATATACCTATTGTCCACTTACTAAACATTGCAACTACTTCATCACTGAAAATTTTACATAATACATAATTGTTGAATAGAAACGCTCAACTAAAAGAACACTGAATATAAGTTGCAAAATTATGAGATAAAGTTACTTAGAATGACTTGTAGGACTTGCCTCGTCCTCTTCTTCCAAAATATAGCACTATAAGATCAACAAGTATAAATAGTAGCAAAAATGTGAAGGCCATAAAACAGAGTAGAGGAAACAAAAGATAAAATTCATTCTATGACATTGGTTCCATCAATTTCAATCTCCTCCATAGTTTTTCCAATTAATCGACAAAATCAAGAATCCTTCATGGATGAATAATAATTGGTAGTACAAATAAAGCTTCATGGATGCACGACACAAAGATTTATTTCTTGAAATCCCTGTAATATTGGAAAGAGTTTCTTCTTCTGGTGTTTTACTCACTTGTAATTACTACAACACTTTAATAAAAAATAATTACTACATCACTTCCTAAGTGCTAGCTTTATAATACAATTACCATTCTCTAAAAAAGGATTTACCTCTTGAACCTCAAAATTCTTTAGTGCAAGACACTAAGATTTATCAATAAAACTAAGGAATCCGAAATGTCCATTAAAACCAGAGATAAAAATGACATCTTCCTCAAGATGAATAGAAGATAGTAATACTCACATCACTAAGTATAACTATTTATTCTGAGCTTCCATCACTAATGTGGATAGAATCAGTGCATTGAAATGCATAAGTTAATTTTTCGACATAGAAGCTAAAGAAACAAATATAGACAAAACAGAAACTAACTTACAGTGAGATGTGGGAATCAAAGTAACACAGCCAAAGAGAGACTTGCATCCGCAAAGCCAGAAATAGCCTATTCGTTAGGAGAATTACAACCCAAAAAAATAGCCAAAGAAAATGCCAAAATCTATATCTATCCCAATTCCAAAAGGCATAAATATACCAAAAATATAAAATTATAGTCACGATCTGTTTGTGAATATATCAATCAATAGAAAGGACATAATATCCACAAAAGAAAAAAGTAAAATAGAAATAATAAGACATGTGACCATTGATTAGAACTGGAATGGAGCTGTAAGTTTTGATGTGGATGAACCACACTATCTTTATTTAGAACCTGCAAGAAAATAGTTTATTTGATGCCCTAGATTCTTTTTTTAAAGAGCACAAATAAGAAACTAAAACTGACCATAAAGCACCATTAACAACATTAAAGAATCTAGTATGAAGTTCATGCCACAATGATATGATTACTAGAACAGCTCATGAAGGGCAAGACAGTTTTCTTTTAACAAGAGATAGTTAAAGGTTAATATAATCTATACAATTGCCACATTCTTATCTTTTTTTGGTTAAATCAGGATTAAACAATATCACTAGAGATATTTGCTTCATACCTCACTTGGTTCACCCCACAGCCTTCATAAATAAAAATCTGATTCCGAGACCACAATCCCTGGTGGCAATGACTCTGCACCACGAGGATTAGTTGTGACATATATCTCCAAAAGGAAAGCAACCCATCAATATTTTAGAACATACAAATGTCTAAGTGCTTTGCATTCTAAATCTACCATGGCAGTCAGAATAACAATCCTACACCACTTCCAATGAAAAATGATCATGTCTTATGCATTTACCACTATCTTCAAGTCTTTTATTTTACGATAATTTAGAAACATCAACCTCCTAACTCAAACCTAAATAGAAGCATTCAAGGAATTGAAACCCTAAACTAGAAACAACTAAAACTAGGGATGAAGGAGCTTACAATTTCATGCCATAGCCATAGAATTGGAAGAAAAGGTTGCTGCTCATTTGAACCTCGTAACTGAAAGCGCGAATCAAAGAGTTGAACGAATTGGGGAAGGTGAGAGCCAAAATGAAAATAAAAGGGGGAGAGATTCGGGGGAAAAGGGGAGGGAAGTTTCCCGCGCTTATTTTTGCTGAAAATTGAGAAAGACCTAAAAATATTGCCATAATTCAAAAAAATTGTTGAGAAAAATAAGTGTTTTACCAACAAGAAAAAACTTTTGGCAACACTAATAATTTATTGTTGCCAATTTATTTATATTTTAAAATTGTTATATTACCCAAAGGTTATGGGAACAAAATTAAAACATTAGCCAACAAGAAATTTGTTATGGGTAAAAGTTCTATGATACAGCAACAACAAAATAGTATTGTTGCCATTTATAGATATTTAGCAACAATATCATTGTTGTTGCAAAAAAAATTATTACAAATTATATACTTTCTTGTAGTGTATTTTGCCCAAAATAAGACCTTCACTAATTCACTTTTCTTTGGAATATGGGATGAACAAGGATATAGAAGAGAAAGTTAAAATGAATAATAACAACAACAACAACAATTATTTTCAGCGTAATACCGATAAAGTTTTGAAAAGAAGTAGAAGAAGATTAAATCAAAATTGAGGGAATTAGAGAAGAAGAATGGATATACTAAGAGAGTAGTGCTTCCGAAAGATGGGGAGTAAGGCTGTGCACGGATCGGATCGGATCGGATTTAGCATATTTCGGATTCGAATTTCGGATTTCGGATTCTAGAAAATGCAATCCGATCCGAATTATATCGGATCGAATCGAATTTTAAAGTTTGGATCGGATTGGATATCGGATAGTATTATTATGCCTCAAAGTTAAACTAATATGTATATTTTCTTTGTAAAAGAGACAATACATTAAGAAAAATTCATGTTTATGCAATTATGAGAGTACTATGGTGCCAATATANATTTTAAAGTTTGGATCGGATCGGATATCGGATCGTATTATTATGCCTCAAAGTTAAACTAATATGTATATTTTCTTTGTAAAAGAGACAATACATTAAGAAAAATTCATGTTTATGCAATTATGAGAGTACTATGGTGCCAATATAGTTAAATCTAGCAATTGTAAAGGTAATAACTTGGAGGTTGATATAAATTAAAGTGTAGTATTTATACATATCCTAATATTTTCGGATTTCGGATTGGATTGGATTAAAATATACCAATCCGAAATCCGATCTGAAATCCAAAATTTTAATAAACATAATCCGAAATCCGATCCAATCCAAAATTCGAAATTCAAAATTGAATGGATTGGTTCGGATTTCGGATTTCGGATATCCGATCCGAATGAACAACCCTAATGGGGAGAGTTCTAGAATTTGTGTAAGATATATTGTGAAGGAAATAAAGCGATTTTATATCTAAATAATTAATGGCAGAGCAAATGTCATTTATGCCCTTGATCAACCAAACAAGCCTTTTCTATATAATAGAAATGTAATACGAAAAAAGATCAACAAAGAGAAAAACATGCCCAATTTTAGCTTGAATAATGTTTGGTTTGGGAACAATCTTCCACTTTACACCTTTGTTGATGTGGTCGGAGGGTTTTCTTAAAGTTTAATAAGCTTTATGCTTTCCTTATATATTGGAGGAGTTTTCCTTGTTTCTTAGTTGACGACAACCCAATTAGAAGAATATAAAGAAAAAACAAAACGATTTTGATGAGGAATTGTCATATCGAAGAAAAACATATAGTTAAGCATTAAACTTTGAGCACTTTATTTAACCATATCTATTCATCAAAATGCTGCATGTTGAAAGTAATGAATTTTATATAGGTATAAAATACAAAATCAGTTATGAGATGTATGATCATTATAATTTACATATAGATACGGTATGATTACAAATGGCGAAATATATATATGCCTCCTTAAACTTGCCCAATATTTTTATCAAGTTATTTTTACTGAGGCTTGTTCCTATTAGATACTCTAATATATATTATATTAAAAAAAGAGTAGTGAAGCATGACATTAAGCCAAGTGGCAAGCTAAAAAGAAGCCACTTGAAAATTTTAAAATAACATTAAAAAATTTGAATTATAAATGGAAACATAATTAATGGAAATAGTAGTTCAATAAGAATTTTTTTAATTATGATACAAATCTCTATTATATTATTAAGATTTTAATCTGGAAAATAAATAACATATAGTAGTATAATTTAGTTAACATTTTTTTGTATAATTATGGTAGGGACGTATTAAATTATGGTAGGGACAAATTAATTAAGTAATTGATCAAGCTTTGTAACTGAACTTATTTTAATACAATATACATTACTATAGGTATCTTTAATTAAAATTTTGTGTATAATTCAGTTATGGTATGTATCCTTTTTTGAGAAAGAATCAATTAAATTTTCGTCTTGTATCTTACACATTAATTTTAAGTTGAAATAATAATTCTGTATTTAGTACAAGCTTTGTAACTGACCTTATTTTGGTCCAATATACATTACTGTAGGTATATTTAATTAAAATTTTGTATATAATTCCGTTATGGTAGGTATCCTTTTTTGAGAAAGAATCAATTAAATTTTTATTTTGCATCTTACACATTAATTTTAAGTTGAAATAATAATTTTTTATTTAATACAAACTTTGTATCCAACCTTATTTAGGTACAATATACATTATTATAGGTATCTTTAATTAAAAATTTTTATTCAATATACAATATACTTTTGTTTCCGCAATGGGACTACTGCTGCACACAGGAGCCAGCATTTCACTTGCACTGCTATTTACAATCCTCAGATTCAAATCAAAGAACAAAGGCAAGTACGAAACTTTAGATTACTGTGTCTGTTTTGTTGATGATTCCGGCAAAAAAGTGAATACTTCCCTCTGTTTACCTCAAAAGTTAATTAATTAATCAGTTAGATATATCAATGCGGAAATAGTTACAGTTTACTATATGAATCTGCATTCATTCCGTTCAATTTGACGTTGAAAGGAATATAATATGTTATTATATATGATTTTGACGGTCATTATAAAGATGCTGGGGTTGCTAAATTCACAATAAAATATATTGTTGTGAGAAACTGCTTAGGAAATGCTAAGGTTGATTGCTTCTATCAGCATGGAATTCTCATACTGAATGGGAAAAGTATGCAACAATTTTAGATGCCAATTAAGTTTCCTTCCGAAGGATCATTCTGGCATATCTTCTTCGTTATCTCATGAGTAATACAATATATGTTGTCTCTTATTTCCGTAAAAAATGGTCGCCCAAGGACCAGAAATTCTTGAATTTTTACCCATACTTTTTTGTAGTGATAAACCTCAATACAAAGGACAACTTCTGGAAAATGCACTACAATATGTTCATGAGCATTTGCTACAATAATGTTCCCTTAAGCACATGCTTCATATCAAGCAAATTGTATAGCATCATTATTTTTCGTGGAATATTCATATCAAGCAAATTGTATAGCATCATTATTTTTCGTGGAATATTCATATCAAGCAAATTGTATAGTTTCATTATTTTTTATGGAACATTTATTAGGAGATGGAAAGAAAATTTTACTAGAGTCTCAAAATATTTTTAATGTTTGGTTGTAAAGATGGTATTAACACTAACATATTAAACTTTACGGTGTAGATCATTCTTTTTAATTATTCGTGCATCATGCGGGTACTAATACTAGTTAATACTTACATAAATTATATAATGTTGTAAAGTACAGATTTTGGGGCCTTTTTTATTTGGGGTATAAGGCAATGACTTTAGCAGTCGTACCCTTCAGCCGCCACCGAACGGAGGGGTTCATTGGTGGCATTCTATGGTGGAGATGAAGAAAGAAGATGTTTATGGTAAAAAGGGTTTTGCGATGGCTCAAGGGGTTTTCATGGTGGCCGGAGTATTGGGTTTTGTAAGAAGATGGTGGTGGCTTTTGAGAAAGATGAAGACGGCGTAAAGTTAATCATGGTTGAAGGGAGGCGGATTGTGATGATGGTGTGTGGAGATGGATGATGTTTGTGTGTTGCTGCGACGGTAGGACTTTCGTGGTGGCGACAATGGTGGAGTAGTGGTGGTGATAGGTGGCGTTAATGGTGGTTTCCGGAAAAGGCTTTTTTGTTTAAAAAGAAAAAAGAATAAAATGGGTTGTTTGAACTTTTCACTCGCTTAAGAGAACCTTGAAAAATATTTCTTTTTCTTTATATGTCAGGCTTTTGTATCTAATAGACATATAACAAGTGAAGTTGAGATATCAAATATGTACAAACTTTCATTGAGGTAGCTACTAGCTAGATGAAAATATTGAACAAGTTTAACGAGCCGCATATATATCCCGCCATTACAAATCCACTTTCATTTTCACCGGCAAAGTGATAATCTAATGCGACATGCTACTACAGAGAGTTGAACACTAGGTTATGAGCCGGCAAAATGAATGGTGCTAATTAGTGGTGGCAAAAAATAGTTACCTACCCATATTATTTATTAAAAAATTGGTTGGATAAAGAATTTTTTAAAAACGGATCAAATATGGATAAGAACCATATTATCCATTTAGAAAATGGATAACTTTTATATCTGGAAAAGCCTCAAATTGGGGGTTTCTCAAGAAAGTGATCATATTCAAGAAGTCATGCATAATATGGATATTCATATTATCCGTCGGTTAACCGTTTTTTATTGGAAAAACTACCATCTATAGCCCCTCAAAATTTTAATAGCACATGTTTTGTCCTACTTACAAAAACCGGTCATTCGGCCCAAAAGTATTGCATATAGTAGCCGAAAGGAATGAGTATGACAACATAAGCACTTGTAGCTTAGTGGATAGAGCGCTTACTTCTTAAGTTGAAGGTCGTAGGTTCGACCCCTACCTGGCGCAATATATAAATATTTATTTTGCAATGTATAAATATTGTATCCTAAGTACGACAGAGTATCCTTCGTGTATATTGAGCCTATCTCGAGTGTGCTTGTGTATATATTTGTGTACCCAAATGTATTTTGTATCGTGAATGTATAATCTGTCTGAACAATGTATCAAAATTGTATATAATGTGTATTTTCTAATATGTAAACATAGTGTATATAAATTATATACAATTTCGGATGTGTAATGTGTGCACACTGTGTATTTGGAGTGTATCATGTATTTTTGTATAGTGACAGTCTTTTTTGTATATATTTTGTATGGTTTCATCTATTTTGTACTATATATTTTGTATAGTTACATCTATTTTGTATGTATAGTGACAGTTTATTTTATATATTTTTGTATAGTGACAGTCTATTTGTATATTTTTTTTATAGTGACAGTCTATTTTGTATATTTTTTGTATAATGATAGTCTATTGTATATAAATTGTACAATAAGAGTCTATTTTGTATATTTTACGAATAGTGACAACCTATTTTCTATGTACCTTCCACTACCTTTCTCCCTTGTACGGTTGTACCCTACCATTTTTTATGTAGTGATAGTCTTTCTTGTATATATTTTGTATTGTGACATCTATTTTGTATATATTTTGTATAGTGACATCTATTTTGTATAATGATAGTGTATTTAGTATATAAATTGTATAATGATAGTCTATTTTGTATATTTTTTTGTATAGTGGCAGTCTATTTGTATATCTTGTATATAGTGACAGTCATTTTTGTATATTAAATGACTACACGTTTGTAATTGATGAGATGCATCTTACTGTGATTTTTAATTATTTATTATTTGTTAGTCTAGGAATTGTAACAAATGGAGTATACTCTACGGATGCTATGTTTGAACTTACATAGTATTATATAAATAAAAATTTCAGTTTCTCAAAAAAAATAAAAATATACTCCACAATTCTTAAAAGGAAAGATGCAAAACAAGCAAAAACTGAAAATTGATTATTCTTTTTTGGCAACTAAAAAATTTTCATTATCAATGGAGTAATGTATAGTAAAACAACCCGACATGTATAGCAAATCTTTTTTCATGTATAACCATATCTTGAATAAAAATAAAATTCTATTAAGTGCATGTAATATCAATCTTACTATTGAAACTATCAAATTGAGAAAAAATTTCCTGACAACATCTTGTCAGAAAATTAAATTCAAAAGTCTCCAACCAGTTCATCAACCAAAAGTAAATGAAAAAGTCGTTAAAAGTTTCTAGTGCCGATTTTTTTCTTCATGAAAAGAGCTGAACTCTGATATATAATGCTTGTTGTCGATTTTTTTTTAATCTCTTTTCAATAAATTCTTCCGTCGAAATTTTAGTAGTGTACTCACTTGCATGCAAAAAAGCTGAAAAAGGGAAAGGGTGTGCCGATCTTTAAGTTTTTGGCTAGCTATGATAATTAATTTTTGGCTTGAAACTGCATAATAGATTTTTGGGCTAGTGTTTGTCAAAAGTTTCAGCCGAACGGTTAAAAGTGAAATTGTCTCTTTTTTATTTGTATTAAATATTGATCGAGTCAAATAATTTATCCGTTTTCGACCCGATCCATATCCAACTCGACCTTGACATTTTGCCACCCCTAGTGCTAATTAATATTAACAAACTTTTATCTAATTTAAAACCATAAACAGTTTATACTGTATAGTCGATTTTTAATGCAGTACTCCTAAATTCACATGTATATGCACTGAATATTTCAGTGTTTACTTTAATATACATCATCTGCATTTTCTTTATTTGTATAACACTATTTTGCGACTTGTCAAATGCTTAACACTATATATTCAATTTATATTTGTCAAGTATTAAAATTGAACTAGTCGATATTTAAATTTTAGGGTGACTTTTCAATCAAACTAAAATTCCAACATTTTGCTTTAACAACTTTTCTGCTATCATTAACACGACATAAATCGAACATTAAATTTCATGTCTATCTAATTAATACTATTAAAATAAAATAAAATAAATATTTTCTTTCTTTATTTTTATTTGTCCACTATACTAAAATAATTTTTTTTAATTTTACTTGTTCATTTTAACAAAATAGAGAAAAATAATACTTTTATTTAATTTACCCTTATCATTAACTACTTATTTCCCAAATTATTTTTCAAATTTTTTTAAAATGCTATCATTATTATGAGTATTATAATAAAAAACCATACTTCATTTATTATTTCATAAGAAGAATGCAAAATCCATTATGAACAAGTAAAAATAACCAAAGCAAGTACAATCTTTGTATAACCTTTCTACAAAAACAAGAACATTATTATATGGAATGTTGTGGCTTGCAAATTAGCATTCCCAAGAATAGTTACTATGTTTAGTTATTCCTCAACATTAAATTAGCGATTACAACCATTAAGCGGTCGTTTGGTTCGAAAATAATTTACACATGAATTATAATGTAGGGATTAATAATGCAGGAATTAATAATATATAAATTAGTAATGAAAAGATTATTTCTTATTAAATATTGGTTCAAATACCCTTGGATACTTGACTTTTATAGGCTTATAGAAAAAAGATAAGGATAATATTGTCATGTTGATACTTTATCCGCAACTTATGCATAAATTAGTTATTCCATGTTAATAATGGGATCAAGTTATTGTTGCGGAAGCCAAATGTATATAGTGTGAATAAGTCACAACTATTATACCAAAAATTATGACAGCCACCAAATAATAAATAAGACAATAAAGCAACAATAAAGGGAACACCAGAATTTACGAGGTTCGGCTAATTTTGCCTACTCCTCGGACACAACCAATATTTTATTCCACTCCAAAAATACAAGTGAAATAATACTAAAGAGAGAAATACAAATGCCTTAAACAGATGAGAAGACAAATGAGAGGTGTGTTTAAATCCTAAACATTAAGCCTTCTTTTATAAGGGAAAATTCCCCCCAACTTTTGTTTTCCCACCGATGTGGGACAAACATTTTGTCAAATTCAACAAATCTCCACCTTGGCAAAATTCCACATCTTCAATTTTCTCTCAATAACAAATTT